ATTACATAAAAATAATAAAAAAATTCTACATTAACCAATATATATATTCAAAAAATTATATCTAAAAAATAAACTAAAATACCAATAACTATACATTAATCAATAATAAATCACACACTAATTTTATGATATTTTAATCAATCACCCTAATACACCCTTCATATAATCTTAACCACTCAAATTCAATTACGAAAACGAAATAAAGAAAAAAACAAGATCGGCTTTCATAAAAATCAATTAAAGGTAATTAGAACTCATCGAACTAAAGCAAAAAAATGGTTTTAGAATAAAAATATTAGGATATCTTCTAAAATAAATATACTTTAGATTTAACATGTAATAGTTGGAATTCCTCAAGTAACACATAAGCAATGAATCTAAACTAATAAATTACTACCTTTATTTCTGAATAATAATCATAAATTTTAATCATTTATGGAGAAGATTGCCTAGGGAGGATTACTTTAGCTAAGCAAACTGAAGAATTTATTTGGGAAAAATAGAATTAAACAACAATTGATATTCCGATTATACTTTTTGTTTATATTGATAATTTAGATGTAGATAAAATTGAACAAAATATTCAAAAGTACTTAAACCTTAAAACAGAAATATCAATATCCAGGAACAATAATGATTATCGTTTTCTTTTTCTCATCATCATTTAAGAAGATTAAGATACTTATTAAATAATTAAATCAATCAATTAGATGGTTAAACTAATATCAACATAAGTGTACCCTAAATCAAAAATAATATGAATCTGAAATTCTTCAATGCTAAGAGTATTAAAAATGGATAAACAGCATATTCTCTAATTGTGTATTTAAAAACCCTCAATTGAAGAATTTTTATTCATTAAATTTAAAAATTGTCTTCTACAAATTTTAAGAAAGAATAATATTTTCATAGACTGTGTAACATTTGATAGGATTATAAAAAATTTAGAGACAATAATTATAAACAACAAAAATGAGTAAGATTAATTAGTTGACGTAGAAGTTGAGTTGGTCATAGAATTTATGGATTATCATCTATCTGTGGAACACAAATCTAAAGTTTGTTAAGAAGAATTGAAATCTGAAATTTCAAAATTTAAAAGTCTTAAGTATTATTAGAACAAATTTAATGAATTAAGTTTAAGCATTCATATATCCAAAAGGTTTGTTTTGTATGGCTGCTCATTTTATAAAGTGAATTTAAATAATAGTTAATTTCAAAATATTAATATTACTAATTGTGATTTTGTTTAATGTAGTTTGAATAATGTGAAATGGGAAAATTTAATAATAAAAAAATTATAGAAAGATTTAAACTAATTCAAAATATATAATATTTAATTAAACTGGCGAGTGGATTTTATATTCTGATGAGAAATCTAACAAAATCACTAAGGAGACGATTAAAGGCCCAGATTAAGTAAATGAATTAAAATCTCAAGCCATTAGCTATGCGATCTCAAATGATGATTAACTATTAGCAATAGGGTTAAATTCAGCTATCTAATTATTTAATACAAGAAATATTGTAGATTAACCCAAAAATATTGATTAAAAGAATTAAGGGGATATCTTATAAATTGCTTTCATTAAAAATGACCAATAATTACTATACTCAAATTCAAATTTAGTTGGTTTATAATAGATGTTGAATTAATCAGTATTCAAAATATGAAAAATAATAAATTTTACACTGCTATAGTTGCATCGTGTAAATTAATATTGACAATTAAGGGAAAAAAAAATGGTTTAACACATCTGCCAATGTAAAAGTAATGACATTTTCTCGTTTCATCAATGTTTTAGCATTTGGTTGTGAAACTCGAATAAGACTTTATGAGGCTGAAGAAAATAACAATCCGATTGATCTTGTGTAAGTTTCATCCACTGTAATCACATTAGCATTTTAAGGAAATGAAAAAAAAAATTTAATATCTTGCGACAAAAAAGGTTGTATTCAGTTTTGGGATATTGAATCAAAGCAGAATTTCAAAGTAATAGAGTTATATAATACAATGTCACTTTTATTATCTCCAAATGGGAAATTTATTGCTTATAAAGATCATTAAGACTATATTAAATTATTAGATTTAAAATATCCTAAAGTTGTCTATAGTTTCAAGGTAGCTAAGAAAAGGAAAATGTAATTTCATTTTCTAAAAATGAAAATAAAGTAGCTTTTGGTTGTTAAATATGGGATATTTCTGGATTGTTGAATAAACAAACTGGGAATATAAGTTGTTTAGAAATATCACCTTACGGAGTTCATTATGCAATTGGCTAGAAATAAAAAATATTAATCTCCGATAGGAACGGAGGAATAGGGATTCATAAACTGATAGGGCATACTGATATTGTAAATGAAATTGCTTATTCATCTAATGCTAGGTAATTAGTATCAGTTGGAAAAGATAAATAAGTAATATATTGGGACATCTTTTATTGCTAAATCCTAAATAACCATTAACATCATTAAAGTCATATTTTGTCAGTTGCTATAACAAAATAGTACATAGCATCAGGTGATTGCTATGGTCAAGTTATAATAAAAAAATATAAAGGCTAGTTCTGGAAAAATAAATTCCTTGTCATTTTGTATGGATCTAGAGAACAACATTCTGTATCTTGCATAAGGTAATTCTGATAAATAGATCAAATTATTCCAATAGCAACATTAATTAACTTTCTCAGAAAATCATACATTTAGTGGTCATATTGATGGATTAAGATGTGTCACATTTTCTTAAGATAAAAATATTTAGCAAGCTGCAGTAATGATAAATCCATCAGATTTTGGAGTGTAGATTAAAAATTATATCTATTTAGTCTCTACAAACACAGAGATTAACTCATTAAAATAAGATTTACAAGAAATAATTCACTATGGTCATGTACTAGAGATAACACTCTATAATTATGGGATATAGAACAAAAAATACCAATTTTTAAATTGGATACGCAAAACAATTGTGATTTAAAATCTTTTGCACTTGGCCATGATGAATAATATTTATTATCATTAAGTGAATATGATTCAATTTAATAATGGGAGCTTAATGGTTTTTATTACAAAGAAGAACAAACCAGATAATAATAAGTTATAAAAGAAATTGCCTTATCTCCTGATGGAAAATTTATTGCTTATTCAGGGGACAATAATTTTATTTCCTTGTGTGATTTTAAGACCAAATAGCCATTTAATCATTTATAAATACAGGGAGTTGTTGATTAGATGATGTTTTAAAGAATGCAATATTTAGTGATTGTTGTGAAAACTGATAAGAAAGAGAAAAATGAAAGTAAAGAGTAAATCATTAGATGGGATATTCTGACAAATGAAAATAAGTTTTTGGGAGAAGGATCGAAACTTGCGATATCTAAAACATTAAATATTATTCCTTCAAATTCACGGATAACTACTTATGAAATATAGTAATTATGTTTTTCCTCAAAAAGAAATATCTTGGCTACAATCAGTAATAGGTAAATGTATATATGGGATTATGTAAAAGGAGAATAGAAATAGACAATTTCGCTCGCTGGCCTTATCAAATTCTGTTCATTTACAAGAAATGGGGAATTGTTTGCATACAGCAGTGGAGACTCAACAATTTAGTTTAGCTCAACTGAAAAATTTGGATAATCTGGTAATCTAGAGCTATAACAGGACAAAACATACGAAATTAAGGATAAAAATCTAAGACTGATTCTAACTTCTAATTAGTATTTAATTTTTCTATTTAATGACCAAATAGCAGTACTTAAGCCAGATGTAATTGATATGTTAGGGTATAATTATAATTAGAATCAGATTCTTAAAATTGCAATTTCATTGAAACAATCAATGAAAGTACAATATTTATACGAATAAATAAAATTATTTGTTTTAATTATTTATTCTTAATAGAATTACTAACATATTATCATCATAAATTCGATTCTCTACTTTGTATTTTTATTATGTAGCATCTTATTATATTTATTGGTGATTGTAATTCTGAGAAGGATTCTTTATTTAAACTATTGCCTACAGAGTATAAGGAGATTGTATTTGAAAAATTGATAATAAAAGAGAAAATAGATTAAGGTGAGAGATGAAAATGTAATTACTTAATCATTTTATTCACTATTAACTTTATCATAGTACTTATTTTAGATTATCATAGATTGTCTTCTGTTTAAAATATCATTAGTCAATCTTATCGAAAGTTTATTATATATTAAAAACGTTTAATTCAGAGTTAAAGCAAGAGATAGAAAATTTTTATACATTTTTATCAATAATTCTCATAAGAATTTAGATTATAAACAGAAGGGAATATATTTATTTAATAAAATTCATGAATCTAATAAAAACAACTTTATTAGAATTTTTTAAGAAATTTGCTCTCACAAAAATAAATACAATTCCTAAATCTCTCAAATTTATTTATAGACTACAGTATTGTAGTGACAAAATTATTAAAATAGAGAGTAAATAATTTGAAGAAATAATTTTATGAGGAATATCTATCCTTTAGTTTAGAAAATTAATTTGAGATTAATATGTAAGAACTCATCTCAACCAAACCTATTATTGATATATCAGATACAAATATCAAATAAAATCAAATTATATTATATAGCGATGCAATTTATTAGCTTAGTTAATTAAATTAATAATAGATCTATTAACAATCTAAGTATATCCGAGAATGGTTTAAAAAGGTTTGGTATTGTGGTAATTGCAAAGTATTATAAACATGCCCATGAGAATAGAATCGTGATCTATGATGTGGGTGATCTTTGGCTATTCTAATTCGATCAAAAAGAACTAGTAACTAAATATGTGAAAAATTCAAAAAAATGCTTTAGATGTTGAATGAGTAATAAATGAATTAATTCAAAATTATTTATAAATCAAAATAATATCAATCTTAGGCTATATAAAGGATCACTAACATTCTGCCAATTTTAGAAAAAATCTATATTTTTCAATAAATTTAAAAGGAATGAAAATAAATAGATAGTTTTACATAGAAGCTAATAAATAGTAGATTTAAAACAGTAAAATGTAAATAAAAAATAAAGAAGATTTTATTGCTATTTTGCTTTTAAGTGATGAAGATGAACTAAAATAATTTGTGATACAAAAGGTGTATGATATTAAAGATTACAAAGAGAGAAATCAATTCAAGGAAGGATAGATATTGGATGATTCGTTTTATCTTATCAATACTCCATTCAGAAAAGTTAGAATTGATTTACTCAAACTATATCAATACAAATCCTATTCATTTTATTATTTTTTGTCTCAAGTTATAAAGATCAAGTTTAATTAAAGAGAGACTTTTTACAATGTTAAAAAAATTGCCAAAAACTAATAAAATAAGCATTTGGAGCATTCTAATTAATTAAAATAGTGATAGTTCAGTATCGCAATCATCTGAAGATGAAATCACAAAGAGCATCAAAGGAGTAATTCTTAAGACTACTCTGATATAAAATAATAATACAAGTATGGATGTTATCAAATAGATCTCAGATTTTATAATAAATGTTGATAAAAAACAACCAATCTCTTTTAAGCAAACCATTTTTCATAAATAGAATAATGAGTCAGATGAGAAAACAAACCAAACATCTCTTATAATAATGTCTCAAAATATTTAAGATTAATATCAATAAAATTGTGAGCAAGAAATTAAAGATGAAGAAACAAAATTAGAATATCAAGAATAGCAAAAACTAATTATAACAAGAGATTTCTAATCTAACATGTGAGTTTAAATAAACATAAAAGGAACTAAAACAACTTATCTATTCAATTCCACAAGAACTTCAGGAAAAAGAAAAAAAATTATGAAACAAACTTAAGCATTTTGAAAAAATCAATATATTAAATTTAAAGGAATTAAATAAATTCTAATCATAATATTAAATAAAAAAAAAGTTAACTAAATTAATGGTATATGAAAAAAAAAAAAGTTAATTAAATTATAAAAGAAAAACAATAACTTGATGATTTAATAATTTCACTTACTTTTTATTTATATTTTTGTACATTAACTTAAATTTATTTCATTATTCTCCCCCAAAGTCTACTAGGAATATTTTTACTAAGTAAACTCACATTTGAAATAGATAAGATTAGTAGAATAAAAGAAAATTACCAGTATTATATTAAATGAAAATAATAAATTTAGTATTTTGATAGGGGTTTGGGGTTTGGGTTTGGGGTTGGGGTTGGGAAAGGGGTTGGGGTTGGGTTTGGGTTTGGGTTTGGGGTTGGAAAAGGGTTTGGGTTTGGGGTTAATAAG